CCTAGAACATGACATGCCACAAAACTTATATGAAGTGTGGGTGCACAATTAAGGAGTTCCAATGTCTGAGAACAAAGCAAAGGAGAATAGGTGCCCTCTTGGTGATTGATATTTGAGACAACAGTGGAGTTGTTTGGATGGATCATAACCAATTTCATCAGAACAAAGGGAAAGAAAAGATCCAAAGCATGACATATTTGACAGAAGCTCCAAGATGTTGATAAGGAAGGATTATTTGACTGGAAACCACATCTGGAACCTCCTGATGATCAACTCATTTCTCCAACCCAAGAATCAGTGAACAGAAGCAAAGTAGCACCCTCATCGTAGGGTTATCTCTCCCAACCACAAGTGGAGGTCATCTGGGACAAAAGTAGGAAGGGTAATGGAGAAGTCCAAGGATCCCAAGCAAGATTCCACTGGTCGTGCAATGTCCACAGAAGAGAACACCCAAGGGAATAATGGCTGCCAAGGAAGCCCAATTCTCCAGAATCAACAGACCTTTGCATGCAGAAAGTGATGGAGAGAAGAGGTCATGGAAAACTTAAAGCTCCATCGAATGCAGACACCAGGGAGAATGTTGGGCCAGATTGTTTAAAAAGCATCCCCAAATGGACAAGATATTGGGTAGGTATAATGAAAAACTTCTACATATTGAGAATCCGACCCACATAAGTTGCTTCAATTAAAAGCGGGCGAGTGAGGTGAGAAGCTACAGGTTCAGAAGAACCTAAAAAAAGGCAGTTATCCATGTAGTAGTGGAAGCACAAACATTGAGCATGTATAAGTCAAGCAAAAACCTTGACCACCCGACAAAAGGCATAAGTTGCCAAGGCAAGCCAATCTTGGGGGCAACAAAAAGCCTGGAATAAAATCCTGGAGAAGAAACACTGACATCCTCTATAGCATGCCAAGAAAGTAGAGTCTGAACCCTATCAAAAAGACACTGGCAGTAGTGGGGAGAAGAACCAGAGAAAAAATCTGTTTAAGAGTACCCAGGTTATCCATGACTCAGGAGTAAATTCTTACAACAAGAGGATAAAACTGTACAAACAAGCCCCCACTGAGCCGTTAGTCACAGGAATCCTTGGTGGTGATGGGTATGAAAGTAAGTAAAACATCTCACCGAAAGACCTAGGAAGGAGGTAACAAGCAAGGCTTGGAAGCTTAAATGGGAGCAGGTTGAGACAAACAAGCAATTAAAAAAGGGTTAAGTGTTGTCTCACAGACTCCACACACAACTCCAAAGAGTCAGCGATATGCAGAAAAGGGGCCATCTGCAGGTCACAAAGATAAGTGGATAGTAGGCACATCTGAGACAAGAGAGCATCCCCACCCAGGAGAATCAAGCAGCAAAAAAAGCCATGTGTGAAGGAACAGGGCAGAGGAGGACAATCATGCCAATGTGGAGAGAATTAGGGTATGGGTATCCTTCAAAAGCCCCTCAAGGGAACAGTGGATAGCCTCAGAAAGGAGAGTAGTAATGGTAGGATGAAGGCAAGAAACTGGACCTGGGAGAAGCACACAAAACTCTCAGGGTCAGCCCCCACACATAGAAGAATCTTGAGCTGCTGAAAGTCCAGAAAAGGAGAATCAGCCTGATGGTAAGCCAATTTATAATCACCTGAAGCCTGTCGAGGTTGGGTCATTCAGGGCCCTGCCCTTAATTGTGACAGGAAATTATCAGCATGTACCCAGATATCTGGACAAAGAAAGAAAAAAAGGTATGAGCACAAGGTGGTGGCATTTCACAGTGGGATACAGATAAACTGGAACATACCTAAGAAATCAAATTCAAGATGGCTGAGGGTGACTGGCTAATTCCTCAGGAGAGGTACAGGCTTGCAAGGCTGTAAAAACTCATAATCATGAATGGCACTGGAAGTGCCTGTTCAGGGTCAGGAGAAGAGGGATAACCCACGTAAAGTTCAATCTCCCGACAAACAAAAGCCAAGACCCCTGTACCTGAAGCCTATGTCATGACATTTGAAGTAGTAGTTATAGTAGCAGAAGTCACAACACAAAAACTCAAAAGTCATACTCGCTGTGGAAAGTTGGGAATCCAAGAAAAGGTTAAAAAAAAAAAAGAATGTCAAAACGGGAAAAAAAACGAAAACAAGGTAAGTAAACTTGATAATGAATGACAGTTAACAAACAACTGTAGAAACTTAAAAGTACTACTTCAAAAAAGAAAGTATCACATAAATTCATACAAAACTGTAAAACCTCTGAACTCGATGACTGCCTTACAAGAAGTGATGGTTAGGTGGAATCAAACAGAGGGAGTAACGTGCATCAGGAGGGTTGTCACATGATAATTTACATGTAAAGACACAGTGAACCATGTTGATTGTGGGAGTTTCAAGGCTAGTAGCATGTGAAAAATGTTGCATATAGAGGGCAGCTCTGAACAAGAAAAGCTAGAACGTGAAAAGAGGTAAGGTACCGTATTGGAATTTTCATAGCCTTCGATCTTATTTGGTTAAAGTACCATGAGCTAGAAAATGAGACCTCTCTTGCCATTCCTACCTGTCACATCCTCTTTTTCACAAATTGCCAATAGTTCTCTGTGACATTAATACTATATTATTTATACCCAATAGAAAGCCAAAGTTTCAATCTATCAAATGTCTATTATATTACATTGTTTTCTGTACAGATAATTGTCTATTTTGCTTCCAGTTCAAACTTTATTCCCATAGGAAAAAAACAAGCTTAGCTAAATTTTTAATGGCTCTTATTGTATATTAGAAAGCCAGAAAAATCATAGTAGTTATTGGGCATTGTTTGCTTTTTACATATTATTATTCTGTGTTCTTAGATGTATTAATTAATTAAACAAAAAAATATTTAGTGCAAAAGTACCATTAGTATAAAAAAGTAGGGTTAAGTTTCATTGACAGTCAGTAGTGAAACAAAACAAAACAAAAAAGACCTAGGTAAGTACTAGATTTGTTGTTTTTCATTTGCATTATTTATTTATTATTATAAAAGTAACAAGAAATGTAAAAATTGGAGCCTTTTTAAGTTAGATAAGGTTAGATTAGGTAAACTAAAGATAAATAATAACGGTAACAAAATTTTTTCACTTGGTACGCTTGCAAGTAGCCCATGTCTTATGTAGGGTAACAAGAGCTACATGTTCGCCAAGTGATTGACAACTTGTGTGGCAGGAATATTAGTTAAACATGGTTCAAAGGTCAATAAAATATAAGTAAAAACAATGTATACTGTTACAAGTTTAAAGCTATTTCGGATAAACAAATGTAGTCTCACGTTACAATCTGAACTCATTTTAAAGAGAAAAAAAGGGTAATTTAGATTTATCTCTTATTCTTTATGGTGATTATGAGGTTGTTATCGACCAACCTTGTAAAGAGTTAGGGAAGCGAAAATAACATATGAAATATGAAGTTTTACTGAAAAAAAGTTTGAAACTTATATAGGTTTTAGAGACAACACAAACGAAATATGGCAATTTTCAGATGAAGAAAACTATTTTTAACCTTAACATAAAAATTACTTTGCACACACAGAGCAGTCAACACTCTGACTCCATATATTCATGGGGAAATTTTATTGAAAATACTTCAATAAAAATTCTGATTTTCTTGTCTACAAAAAACTCTTAATGCTTACTGAAAGCTTGTAAAATTTCATGAAAGTCAATTTGGGATCACAAACTCAGCCGATTCGACCAAGTCTGTAGTGAGAGTGCTAATAGAGACTAAAAACTTAGATAGTAGTCTAAAAGATAATAGCACAAAGGTGTGAGTTGTCTAAAAAAAGATGCTACATCCAAGTTGAAAGTAAAACGTTTTAACAGGGGTGTAACATTCTAATATTCTTGCATACCAAGAAATCTATTATCATTCTGGATTTGGGTAGTACATTTCTTTTCAAACCATTGGATTGTTTCCTGTAACTAAGTACATACACGACAAATATTCCATTAAGATCAAAATATGTAAATAATGAATTTTTTCTCACAAAAAGAATTAAAATATACACTCTGTTTTGTCATATAAGACCTAACCTCAAACAACTGAAAATTGGAAATACATACATCAGACAAGAAAATCTAATAGAAGGCTCTTAGGGATACATATAGAAAAATAACATTACTTTTCCTTCACTTTGCTAGAACTACACAGAAAATCTAATAGAAAGCTCTTAGGGATACATATAGAAAAATAACATTACTTTTCCTTCACTTTGCTAGAACTACACAGAAAATCTAATAGAAAGCTCTTAGGGATACATATAGAAAAATAACATTACTTTTCCTTGACTTTGCTAGAGGAGCTTTCTATTAGATTTCTGTGTAGTTTGGGATACATATATAGAAAAATAACATTACTCTTTTCCTTGACTTTGCTAGAACTACACAGAAAATCTAATAGAAAGTTCTTAGGGATACATATAGAAAAATAACATAATTTTTCTTTGACTTTGCTAGAACTACACAGAAAATCTAATAGAAAGCTCTTGGGGATACATATATAGAAAAATAACATTACTTTTCCTTGACTTTGCTAGAACTACACAGAAAATGTAATAGAAAGCTCTTAGGGATACACATAGAAAAATAACATTACTCTTTTCCTTGACTTTGCTAGAACTACACAGGAAATCTAATAGAAAGCTCTTTGGGATACATATATAGAAAAATAACATTACTCTTTTCCTTGACTTTGCTAGAACTACACAGAAAATCTAATAGAAAGCTCTTGGGGATACATATATAGAAAAATAACATTACTTTTCCTTGACTTTGCTAGAACTACACAGAAAATGTAATAGAAAGTTCTTAGGGATACATATAGAAAAATAACATTACTTTTCCTTGACTTTGCTGGAAGGCTTTCTATTACATTTTCTGTGTAGTTATTTTTCTATATATGTATCCCTAAGAAATACTTTTCCTTGACTTTGCTAGAACTACACAGAAAATCTAATAGAAAGCTCTTAGGGATACATATATAGAAAAATAACATTACTCTTTTCCTTGACTTTGCTAGAACTAAACTGTTTGATTCTGATGATTCTTCCCAGCTTGAGCTACGATGTCTACCAAACGATAAGGACTTGCTTGATGACACTGGTCCAGAATCTATTCTCTGACGTAATATGCGGCCAGTTGTAGATTTCTCTGGTACTTTTCCTCCTTCACCAGAAGATGTGACTAAAGGACTTTTGTCATCCTACCAGAGAAGACATGTTAGAGTGACTTAAACAGATGCAATTTATACTTCAGTGTTGTTCACAACCTTCAGTATTTACACAAGAGTAGAGACCTTATGTAAATAAACTTAAGAAAGTTGTTCTATATATATATATATAGAATAAAATTTTTCTGTGCAATATTTTTTGAGAATTTATATGAAAATGTACACATACTGGATATAAGTATTATTCCCATACCAGTATTAACACTTTCCGAGTATGGAAAATACAGGGCAACACTTTTGTGCAAAAAATAAACTTTTCAAACTTACCTCAATGTTTGTAAGTTCAAAGAGTATTTTCATAAGAGACAAAGCTTAGAAACTTCACATTTCAATAATATAGTATCTTAACCAAATTCTATCAAACATGGAACAATTCTAATAGTAGGTAAATATACAATACTGTGTAATCTAAAATAAAGAGTAGATCAACTATTATTGAACAACCCACAGATTTGTATGATACAACTTTCAACACTTTCATGTGAACTCTTCTGTCCAATTTTTACTTGCCCCCCAAAGAAGTTAGACTGAAGAGGTTAGTGAAATTGTTGAAATTTGTATCTATATAAATTTGTGATTATTCTATAGTATTACAAAACAGTTCATTCTTTGGTCACAAAAGATTTCTTCAAATACCTATAATAATGCATATCATAACATACAATAAAACAATAGTATTTATAAGGTGCTAAAAGGTTAGTAAGACAGTCTTTTTTTTTTTTTTTTTTGTCAGAAACATAAGCTGCTTAAATTTCCTTTCAGTGAAGTCAAATGATTCTGCATGGGATGTGATCTAAAGTAATTATGTGCATTAAACTTTTCAACTTTGTTAGAGGATGCAGACATTCAAATATCACGGTTCTCTGGCAAATAAGGTTCAAAACATTAATCATTAAAGTGTTTATGTATTACAAGAAATTTTTAATATTACAAATTATGCTTGGACTAATATTCTAAATAAGTATAAAAACAACAAATACATTGAAAACTCCCATTTTCTCTTTTCTTTAAGTTTCTCAACCTACAAATACACTGTAATTATGTTGCTAAGACTAGGTTTGAAACTTTCATTAAAAAATAATAACCTATAACGGTGTTTAGCACATGTTAACCCTTTCAAGACGGGTCATAGGTGAAAGGCCATGTAATCTCGTTTGTGGACTCGCATTCAAAATTTTATTGAACTACCATTTCAGGAATTCATGTCAATAACTTTGGTATCAAACTGTAGATTATAATTTAAATTTTAGAACTATACAATACTCAATTTCTTAATTTAAAAAACAGATAAACATCAATTTTTGTATGTCATATGGTATGTTGAATGCAGCACTGGTTCAAATTAGATGTTTGTGAAGTCAAAATACCAAGTCTATAGTTTCATATGAATTAGAAACTCAAATTACAGATATTGACAAGCTAGCATATAAAATAAGAAGGTTTTACCTTTTCTATCTGCTAAGATATTGCTCATGTAATAAATCAAACACCCACCCACCTCTTTCCATTTTTGGAAACACTCCCTTATATACACTTACTTCTATAAATGACATGAATAACTAATCGGGCACTCAGAATGTCCCCCTAGTGGTTTTCGCAGCTTTTCTAACATGGCTAGCATCATTTTCTTTCTTTTGAACCAAGATTTCAATAAGGTAGGTTGTGTCTTTAGTCTACTCAAAATTTCATGTTTTTTAGAGTAAAATACATCTTAGTTACTAAGCTTAATAAATTATAATTGAATTCTATGCTATTGATGCAGTAATATATGGTTTTTTAGTTATTCAAAGGTATATATAAAACCTGAAAAAAAATATTTTGTTTCATATCCTCCTTGTGCAAAATTTTATAAAGGCTTAACAACCTATGTCAAGCAGCAACCAAGTACAAAGGTCATAACTAGAAGAGATAATTGTTTGCTTTACTTCTTTATTTACTGTTCTATGTTTTAAGAAAAATAAGTTTAAGAACTTACTTTAAAATAGCAATAATGTATATACATATATAATGTATAATAATTGAAATGTGACTGTATTTTACAAAAAACTAGTCAACTAAAACACAGCCAAGACAAGTTACTTCGTAGAGACCAAAAGTCAGTTTTATGTTATTTGATACGGTAACATGAGTGCAAGTGAGCCGCGTCATTGTAACTTCTGTATTGTTAGCCAGGCACGGGTGAAAGGACAATATAATAAAAATTATAAATATATATAAATGTATAATGTTATGATTTTTAAGCTATTTCATCTAAAAATTTATGTTTTCATATTATAATTTGTTCATTCTAGAATGAAAGAGGCATAATTTATGCTTATATTTTAATTTTTATGGTGGTTGCGAGATCGATCAAATCTACCAAACACATACAGAGATTAATTACTGAAAATAACAGATAAAATATTAAGTTTTTTCTTAAGAAACATTTGGTAACTATCCCGACATTATAAAGATTTCGCATATGAAATTTAAAAATTTTCTGATGCATCAAAGTATTTTTAATCTTAAAATGAAATTTACTTTGCATGATAGATAGGCAAGATGTGAAAAGAAAAAAAAGGTACGAGAGAAACATTGCTTTACAAACCTTTGACTTAATGAAAAAATTATATTTTGCGTGTTAAATCATTGTAATGTTTACTGATAACCTGCCAAATTTCATTAATGTTTGCTTACTAATTTAAAAGTTATAGCATAAAAGTATAACAAGCACAAAATGGTTACGAGGTCGTCACATGAACCGACCCCATATTGAAAGAGTTAAGATCCTAAAATTATTTTGCTTTAATCAAACAAATATAACTATGAGTAAGAATCGAAGAAAATGATGTCCGTGTGCTTGGCTTTGACTGTCTAGACAAAACTTTTAACCACTGTGGTCTGACTTTAATGGATTTTTTTTTTTTGCTCAAGCAACATACTAGATTTCTGTCCTAAAGATGATTGTTCTCAACATAACTGGTAAAGAGTTTGGAGTTTCATTGGTCTAGCTGACAATTCCACTGTATTTTTGTAAAGTGAAATACTTACAATCTATAAAAATATATTTCCAGGCTAACTCCACATTATATGATTATTATTGCAATTTTTCAAGTTAAAGAATGAGCTTGTTAGTTGATCCTCATAATATCAACTACATAAAGTTTGTCTGAAAGTAAATTGTTACTTAAAATTACATCAAAAAGTTCTTTAAAAACAATAGTGAAACAGGAATTTCTTACCACTCTTTCACATGGCAATTTTTTTATAATTATACACACACACATGCCTTAATACTTAATGAGCCAAGACAGTAATTAACAGTTAAAATTGTTAGTTAACAATTAATACTTAATTCCCCAGCTAATAATGGGTCTAATCCTACTGAATTTGCATTTGAAACTCATGAAAGGGTAAAATCACTTCACTGGAAAATTTTGTGTCAGTTCAAAACAATCTTAACCATTTTCGAATTCATTGTCTCCATCACAGAGGTCTGAACCCATCTTTAACTACTCTCTTCTGTGAAAGCCCATTGATCAATACACGTATTATCTCTCTGGCAGTTTCCATCCTTCAAACTGTACCAGAAACCTACCATACAGCTTAATTCCTTGACTGATAAAAATCTGTTCTAAACAACGTAGAAACAAAATCTCCCCAATGAGACGTAAAGAACTAATTAACCAACCAATATATTAGAGGATATAAGAAAGAGAGCTAAACAGATTCCAAGGAAACAATTCAACAGAACCAAAGAATGTAACAAAAAGCAGTATCTTCCTGGTAATGAAAAAGAATATCTGCCTCTTCCCATTATCCCAGCTTATAAAAGACCACCATCCCATATCCACACAAGTAGCATCAGGAAAAATAAAATGTACAATCTGCCAGACATGGGTTTCAAGAAACCACCAAGTTTATGCATCCTACTTATCAAATCAAAAATACTGAAAACATGATAGGATTTCGTTCATGCATATGACAACATCGTGAAACATGTTCTTTTATGTAATCTGTGACCAGTCTATCTTCAAAAACACATTTCACAATTAATGACAACAAAATGTGTCAACACAAATGTTATTTATGTCCATCAATAATCTATGTGTGCTTACAGTACGTGCTGCAAAAAACAGAAAAACATTAAGTTTACAAACCAGTAAATACTGTTCGGATATTTAAAACAGAAATTAAATCCCTCTAACACAACACCTAGGATACAATAATTCTTTTTGTCAAATAAAAAGTGAAGGACTTAACCATGATAATTACATAAAAGGTGTTATGGATGGATAGACTTGGCATCATTACATTAAAATACTAAATAAATATATATAATTATTTTACATTTTCACCTAAGTATTTCCATGTTAATACACAAACCCTGTCGAATATAATAATTGTATATGTTTCATTTGTCACCCAAACAATATTTCTTATCTCGCAAAACTATCATAGCACATCTTTAACACGCTATTTTTACAGAACAACTTCTTCAGATTCAATCAGATATATATTTCTTTAAGGCTTCATAGTTCCTGATGAATGATGGTCTATGAATTGGGAAACTAGAAACAAAAATTAACTTGTTTGTTTAACTATCTCTATACAGGCTCAGTCACTTTGACCAACCATGCAATCACTGTTTAACCACAAGGTAATCATTAGAGTACACATACTATATTTTTTTAGGTAATAAATATCATGAACATTGGCAAACTTTTAGTAAACATTACAAGCCTTTTGTAGACAGAAAATAAAATTTTTAATTAAGTCTTTTTTAAAGAAGATTTGTCTGTAAATATATAGAATTAGAACTAATTAAGACTTGGACCCTAATTAGGCTAAATGCAAGATGATTTTTAGGTTGAGATCAAAAGTCCATTTTTTTCATCTAACAGTTTTCAAATTATATTTCTAAAATCTCCTAAATGAATATAAAACTTCATACTTTAACTTATATTTTCTCTATCTCAACACTATACAGATTTGGTCAATTTGACCAATCTTGTAACCACCACAAAAAGTAGGAAATCTAAATTAATCTTTTTTTCTTTCTAGAATGACTGCAGATTGTAATAAAAATATTACAATTATTTATCCCAAACAGCTTAAAATTTGTAATAATTTACTTCTGTTTTTATTTTATGTCATTGTTTTATTTCTCTTTGAACCACTTTAACTAATAATCTTGCAATACAAGCTGCAAATCAAATAGTGAACAAGTAGCTTAAGTTATAGTATTGAATAATGTAATGCATGAACTACTTGCAATCTATTCATAAAAAATAAGAAATTTAGTACATATGTTTAACCTCTTGTACTTTTGCAGTTTGGCCAACCAATGAAACTTATTAAGCCTACTCTTTTTGTAATGATGGTACTGGTACATCAAATAATTTTTATTTATTTCAATTATACACTTAAGAATACAAAGTAATAGCATGCACAAAGTAATTAATGTCCTATAACCATTATAATTTTACTGGCTTTCTAACTAAGGTATAAGTGCCTTAACATAATTCCCTTAGTTGTGGGATCTGAACTGTGCAAAAACAACTTTTACTCTGTAGATAAAATAGCTAAAATTCCCATCCGAGAAAAAGGTAGCATTATATGTCATTCAATAAATCAAAACTTTGTCTTTCTATTGGTTATAATGACATAATTTCAAATGTCAGAGAGAATTATTGGCAATTTGTGAAAGAGAGGGTGTGATAGGAGGTTGTGTTGTAGCAAATGGATTTGACTTTCTGGTTTATATCTCCTTAACCCCTTATGGGCACCCCTGTTCTATGCATGTCACAAAATTTTACTTTTTTACATTCAATATTCATTTAAGCAATTTTATGATCAATGTATGCCAATGAAATAAGCACCAAATTTGCATTATAGTTGAAAGTTTTATATTATCTAAGTTTTAATTCCTTTATTTCAAAAGAAACCTTTAAAAAAATTCTTAAACTTCAGTTTGATGCAAAAGTTCACAAAACTTAATTATTAAACTTTGTAACTTGAATACTTCTTGACGTACACTAATCTTCGACGTATATATAGAATATAGGTTAATTGTTCTGTTTACAAATTCTTCTTTCAAGCTCCTTAGGGCACGTTGAGAGAAAATAAATTTCTTGGAACTCTTGACAGATGCTGTGCCCACTTTCTACACATATAATTGTAATTTCTCAGCTAATTATACTTATTTGAGAGAGATGTTTATAACCAATAGAAAGACCACATTTTAAAATACAATCTCCCAATAGTTATTTTGAAACTGGTATGAAGAATTCCAAACAGAACTTGTCAAACCGCTCTTAGTATTGTTGCTGCTTTTGTCCTCTCTAGCATTTTAGCATTGTTTCTCACCTATAAATATGTTAGTTAGACAGACAATTGAACTGCATTTAGGTTTTAGTTTTATATTTTAGTTAATTATGTGTTATTTATGTTTTAAAATGCATATTAAAAATGGTTAATAATTTTTTAAAATATAAGCTAAACTGCCTCAGTTCATCAGGCTTAATGCAGTAGGCAAATGTCCTAACATTCTGAGAAAAGCTGAAGTGTGTCTGCCTAATACTGCTGAGAACGCCTGTTGACGAGTGTCGCAATAAGTGATAATGCTAAAGGAAAGGAAAATAAAACATCAAAAATAAACTATATGTGAAAAAGTAAAAACTTACAATTAAGAATCTTTTTAATAATACAATACAATAATGATAATACTCAAAATATTCAGAGTCTAAGTACAATACAAATAAACTACAATACAAAAATAACAAATGTTTAATTAAAATCTCATTCTTTTTGTACAAAATACTTGTAATCTTTAACAAAATCTTACAAATTGTTGTGAAGATATGTTAGGAAAGCTGAGAGTTATTGTAAGTATTGTTGAACTGTGTGTATCATTCTCCATATGAGAAGAAGCCAAATGGGTTCAATCCCATAACCATAAGAGTGGACAAAGGTCACGTCACACAGGTAAGGAGAGATTGAGAATTTATTTAAATATTTCCTTATTAAATTAAAAAATTAAATTAATATTTTATTTACCCACTTTTTTTTATTCCAAGTTTTAATGGTAATAATCAGTAATAAAGTATATTGGTAAGTTGGAAATAAATCAATTAATTAAATTTTGGATATAACTCATAACACGCACAGTTTTACCTATTTGTTTTGAGAGGGTAAATGAGTGCAAGGAGCTCCATACTACTGCAACCTATATGAGGCTCATTACAGCTGTGAATACAATGCACCAGTTTAGTGAGTGTTAAAACAGTAGTGAATAACATATGGAGTGAAGAATCCTACTACTCACTGGCTCTAGGTTTCATAGCATGCTGGATATGATTGTTTTGCATCACTGAAACAGAATATCAAGGTGTGGTATAGGTTTAATAGGACTATGTTGTCTCACCCACACAAAATGGCTAAACAGTATCAAAGTGTGGTATAGGTCGATAGGACTATGTTGTCTCACCCACACAAAATGGCTAGACAGTATCAAAGTGTGGTATAGGTCGATAGGACTATGTTGTCTCACCCACACAAAATGGCTAGACAGTATCAAAGTGTGGTATAGGTCGATAGGACTATGTTGTCTCACCCACACAAAATGGCTAGACAGTATCAAAGT